GATTGCTTGAGGCCAGGACTTTGAGACCAGCCTGGGCAACAGAGCAAGACTCCATCTCTACAAAAAAATAGAAAAATTAACCAGGTGTGGTGGTATGCATCTGTATTCCTAGCTACTCTGGAAACTGAGGCAGGAGGATTGCTTGAGCCTAGGAGTTTGAGGTTGCAGTGAGCTATGATTGTGCCACTGCACTCCAGCCTGGGTGACAGAGTGAGACCTTGTCTTAATTAAAAACAAAAAAAGAAATTTTGAATATTTTTTTATTCAGTTAATTATTGTTTGTTTACCATGTAAATAGCTTTTGATAGCCATACAAAAATAGTTGGTAGCATGGGTCTTTGCATCTTCCAAATCCTTTGAATGCCAATACTACCCATGTCCTGCTTCCTATGGAAAAATTGCTACAGTAATCACACTCATGGTCCACTCAGTACAGATTCTGTCTCTGACAGAGGCATCGAATGTGTACTTCAAGGGTTTGATTCAAGAAGTCAGCATCTGAAATTAGGGATATATCCTGACATATCCTGTCCTTGAAATATCTATGTTAGGTCTCCCTGTATTCATCTTTTTAAAAAATTATATTTGTAGTTTTAGCTTTTTAGGATAAAATGTTCCATTAAACTTACTGCCTACTGTTTAAGCAGTACTTCCGTTAATTTGTTCTTGGTGCATCTCCTTCTTAAGTTCAAGGGGATACATCCTTATTATGGGTTTTATGACACTTAAATGTGCCCACACCAAAAGGGCTATAATCAACTTAGTTTCTTTTATTGTGGTAGCATTTCCTTTGATCCCATTTAATATTTTAGTTTCATTCTCTGGGCCAACTGCATTTCTACCATGTCTTTCTTGAGATGATGTGACCAGCGTAACATACTCAATGTGAATGCATCATGAATGTGGGTAAGAGTAGGAAATTTGAATTTTCTCCTTACTATAATCCTTGGTTTCCCATATTATGTTGATACTTTTGAATATAGCAGCATAATATACATTACTGTCTTTTAGAAATAGTTTTAGTCTCTTTACTATTTTTTAGTTAATACTTATATCTTACCATCTCAGATATTTTGGATAACATTTCCCTGTGTCCATTATTGACAGTTTCCCATATTGAGACCTACCTTCTATAGTATATTCTATCAGTTCTTTAATGAATCAGAAGAAATTAGTGTCATAAGTAAACCTGGAAATTTCATGTGTGTTCTCCTTCCTCTAGATCATTTATAACAGTCTATAGTGATTCCTAGTTCAAATCCTTGAGGATTGTTTTTACTTTATTTCTGTCTTGAAATAATGTCTTTTTCCATAACTTTTCCTTCAATTCAAGGTGACTGAGCTTCCTAGTCTTTGATGTGGAAGTGGAGGTGACAGCCACTCATTCTTCTTAATTTTTTTGAAGGTTTATTCTTTCACAGAACTGTGATAATTTAATTAGGCATGCTTTCTCTTTACAGAGACCATGTTGATTTCCTCACAGTGAATTTATAGTGAATATCTTGAGACTTAATATTTTAGAATGTATATGGACTAACAGTATTTAAAAACCAAACCTTTTCATGCAGGTTGGTGGGATGGTAGTGTCTGCATCTTATATAAATTTTGAACTAGAGGTTTTATTTTAACTTTAATATATTATTTTAAATTTCCTTTATCCCTTTACAATCAGTTACTTTGACAAGTTAAAAAAAAAAACAACTTAGGTTTGCTTTTATTTCTTTCTAAGAATCTTTCTTTCTTTCTTTTTTCTTAAAAAGCTTTACACAAGTAGTATACAGGAACCTTATTTCAATCACGTATTAATTTTAAAGATACAGAAACTGAGTTTTTATTAAAGAGATTAAATTTGCCCAAATTCACCAAGGTAAGAGTGAAAGAGCGGGGCAAAATCCTTGTTCAGCCTCTGCGCTGTATTACTTCAGTGTCGAACAAAAGATGTGAAAGGCACATTCTTAGAGCATGGAGATACTGATTGAGCATATAAAAACTAAAGAGAAGGGATTGTATCTTTGCTTCATAGTGACAGCCAACACTACAGAAATCACAGTGTATTGTTTGAATTTAAATGAAAGGATATTTTTATTAAACTAATCATTGCCAAGTTCATGTGATTTTATACTGTACTATTATATTTTCCCTTTATCAAATTTACCATAATGTGGCCATAATTTTATTTCTAGGTAGTAGGCCTGTATCGATTATGTGGTTCGGCAGCAGTCAAGAAAGAACTTCGAGAGGCTTTTGAGAGGGATAGCAAAGCTGTTGGTCTGTGTGAAAACCAGTACCCAGATATAAATGTAATAACAGGTAATAAATAGATTTTATTTTGTGTATTCATTGTGGAAAGACTACATCTGCAAGAAAGAGAATTGAAATACTATTTGTAGCCTAAACTTTATTGTTTTTATTCTGAAGTCTTTTCTTTCATCACAAACACTACTTACTGTGTTATTTTCTGTGGGGAGATACTAAGTTATTGTCCCTTACCCTCAAACAGTCAACAAGTGGTGGGGGAAGTAAGACCTACTTTAAATTAGCTGTAGTAGCTAGCAGAAAGGAAAGGGTATTTTCACAGAGGAATAAATAAAATACCATGGCAGTTGAGTTTGACTGGAGCTTAGGCTATTGACTATCTGGTTAGAGAATTTGAATTTATTTACTAGCCAGAGGGGATCCATTAAAGATTTTTGAGTAGGGGAATAAAATTATTAGAGATTGTTTTCAGGAATATTAATCTGGCAACTCTGTGATGGATTGATATTAGAAGAGGCCGGAGGAAGGAAAATCTGTTAGAAAGCCTTGGCAATAGTCCCAGAAAAGAGGTGATAAGAGCTAAGGGAGGCTTGTAGCAGGAGAAATAGGAAGGTGTAGAATCAAAAGGATGTGAAGAAAGAGAGGGCCCAGACAAACATGACTTTGAGACCTAGTTGATTGGGCACCCTTAGCAGAAATGAGACTTCAAGGAGAGCTACTGCTCTTGCTGAGGAAATGAGAACAAAGATTATGAATTGGGTTTTGGATATATTGAATTTGAAGTATTGGTAGGAGATCCAAATGGATATATCAAAGTTGAAAGTGCTCATTTGCAGCTAAGGAGAGAATGCAATAGAATTTGAGGGGTCTTTTGTTTGCCCAGGTGGTGATTATAATCCAGTATATAGCATTGGAAAAATACTTCAAGAACCACTGAAAGATGGGGCAGGGGAGCGGGGAATGGCAATTTGAGGGTTACTGGCGTATAGGTATAATTAAAGCCTTGCGATTGTCCATAAAGTTTGAAAAGACAAAAACTTTGAGGATCTCCAAACTTTGGAGGCAGGCAAAGAAAGAAGAAATACCTAAAGAGATTGAGAAGAAAGGAGTCAAGTTTGGGAAATAAGAGACAACAGAGTTTAAGGAAAGGTATGATGCAGTGTCATTCTGTGTAGAGATTATATAAAATGAGAATAGAAAAAAGGCCTTTTAATTTGGCCATTAAGGAGATTGTTCATAATCTTCAGGGCTACTGGCTTGTAATTCTGTGTTTGCTTTTGTTGTTATTTTACTTTTGTATTATCAAAATTTTCAAGCATATGGGAAAGTAGAATAAATGATAAATGCCCTTTGTCACCTAGTTTCCATAATATCACCATTATAACCAAACTTGTCCAGCCATTTCATCCTCCCCAGCCCTAGATTATTTTGAAGCAAATCCCAGACATCATATCCTTTCATCTGTAAATGGTTCAGTTTGTATCTCCAGATCTTCTGTGTATTTTGATTGTTCTCTTCTCCCTACTATCAACTGCTGTTTTTTTCTTGCTCTAATGGTGTTTGTTTATCTCTTCTAATTTGCTTTCTTATTTTACACACAATTAATTGGGTGAGAATTTAAAGAAGGTTCACCTTGAACATATTAAAGAGATTTTTCTTTTTTGGTTGAAATCCTTAAAGCTTACTTTTAGGGTTGAGGCTTTCTGAATAGTTAAGATTCCTACTCTCTGAATGGTGAATGACTGTATTTTCATAGAGTATTAAATATATACTCTTGGATAAGCAAAGCATTTAATATTAAATACTAAGAGAAAACAAACCAAGGCACTTTTTCTTTCTTATATATTTTAGCAAATCAGAAATAATGTTTTTTTTTTTAAATAGAGGAAGAGGCTTATTTCTACCAAAAAATGGGATGTCTTAAAAAATAGAATGTTCTTTCCTTGTTACTATGTCATTAAAAAAATCAGCAAAGGACCTATTTTATGAATTCATGAAAGAGAAATTTTATAAATACCAATTTTCAGAAAAGTACACACTATAAGTAAAAGTAGATTTTTATGTTGGGAAAGCCTTCTCTTAGAAATAAAAATTATGTTAAACATATATAATTTAAAAAGATGAAATGAAGAGAGGGTCCTTAGTTTTAGAAATTTGCAGCATATTCAGAACATATGAACAATAGATCAATGAATGTTAGATTTATAGCATTCTTTTCTAAAATTGTTTCTGTAATTTGTAAATTATTTCTTGGCTCCATTCTTTGTACTATTCCTTTTCAGTAAAGCTGTTTTTTAGAAGAATTTAGAGCTATTTTCTTTCTTGATAAAAAGCCAATGAAGTGATTTAAAATTTGTCTGAGAAATATCATTGGAATTGCATGACATAAAGTTACTGTGGCTCAAAAGAAAGGATAGTGTTGATTTGGGGAATTGGCTGGTAGTGGTGTTGCCCCATGTGTTTGTTCCACATGAACTCACATTTCTGAGCAAACTTTGAAATGTAATTAATAGTTCAGTAGGTCTAAAAAATGGAAAATTAATGAAGTGAGTGATAGAGTTTGTTCACAGTTTAATGTGTTTTTGGTAGTTTGGTTTGTCTGGAACACAGAATGAAATACTCCAGACAAACCAGGTTTTTTTTATCAAGTACAGAATTTAAGGTATGAAGCCTACTCATAATTGTTTATGGGGCTTATTTACCAAAGGTAACAAGAAGAGAATGTAGAAAAGTCAAAATACTTATTATTTAGTGATTATTAAAAAAGAATTAAG